TTGGGACGTCACAACAATTACAACGTGAAAACTTCACGTAATATAAAGTGCAATACACATGTGCCCTTAACAACGGAAATCCACTCGCACACGCCCAACAGACCCTTTTTTGTGAAGCGTGCATTGCGGACATGCATCATAATTGACGGCCTTTCCTTGTTTCTGAAAAAATTTATCTTTAAAAATTGGTGATTTTTGGCTTTAATCGAATTTGTTATTAGAAGAAGCCTTGGGAGATATTTCAAATTTCAGTGTATTGAATTATAGCCAATACTTCGCTATATTCGTTGAATTCAGGATAAGCTTGAGATCTTTTTTTATTTGCCTTCAATTGATGTAGGACTCCACGAATCTCCATACAAATTTTTCCAGAAAGAAAATGGGCGATTCACGCCTAAATCATCTTGGTAGCGTTCTGGAATCTAAGAATAGCACTTTACGCAAAGAAGCTGCGATTGCATTTGGAAAATACTGTTTATCAGATAGCAAAGTTGCAGAGGTAAGACGGAATTTGATCTTCTTGTCAAACACCTGTTACCATCTCTTTTGCAGGTTTTATTGAAATACATTTGCTCCCCTTCATGGGATGCACGAGTAGCAGCCGCGGATGCACTCCATGCCTTATTAAGAAATATGGGAACTTTCAGTGGGAAGATAGAAGATGTTCCAGTCGCTGCATCGTTACGAGAAATCAACGCTACATATGTGCTTAAGACTTTTAAGCCTCTATTGAGGTAGATTGTCAGAGAAATCGAGATTTATTGAATAACTGGGTTGTGAAGTCCATGCAACACTCATATTCCTCTAAGATTGGACAGACTTCATCTTTTGCGCGTGGGTTGTTAAAAGCGAGGTTGGAATTTTTAACTTACTAACTCGCACTATGGATTAGGCTTATTTTATACATTGAGATAGTTGTGCATATCAAATACAGCTTGCATTTTCGTTTGTCCTACATTCATAACAAGCCCTTGAATAGAGTCTATAGGGAAGTACATTTGGTAGGACAATCATTTTCGAACAAAGTGCATAGCACTTAATGGCTTGCAAGTTGCATCATGAATTCGAGAAGTCATGAATGATTATTCCTGTTAGGGAATGTGTATGGAACTTCTTGCTCGAACTCAACCGCAAGGTTGAGTTTTTTTTTCATGAAATTCCTTTTTGAAGAGCTTCTTGTTCTCAAATAGCAGAGAGGGTATGTATGGTTACTTTGTCTAAATAACCTTTATTTGTGAGATTTCTTGGTAATTGCATGCATTTTCAAAGTACATTACGGATTAGAACTCATCAATACCTAATTTCCTACTCTCACATTTTAATTGATAATCATTCTAATTAACTTTTGTGCCCTTTCTAATGCTGGATTTCAGTGACGATGGCACCGCTCTAAGTACTGGAGGATCCGGAACGAAAGTGAATGTACATCAACAGCGACTTGTTCTTGATCAGCATCTAGATATGAGTGCCGTCATTGGGATTACTTCGGTGATTTTCATTTCCCTTCATCCTCCTTTAAGAAAAATATACTCGCAGTTGAACGATGAATTACTGAACAGGAAGTTTTCAGGCAGGATTTTTGAATGATTCTGATGTACTACCTCAGAGCACCAGCAATTCTCCACGTCAGGAGCCAGAAGA